TTATTGAGAAAATTTGTGATAATGTTCTTATCTAAATACTTACAATAGATGTTTGTGAATAAATATTAAGATATCCTGAAAATTAAATTCGTTCAAGGCATGCTATTGCGGAAAACATTATATTAGCAGAACAGGTAGGTTCCCAATATCTTATTAAATGTAGATGCAGATAATCCACTTTACTATGGAAGAAAGTTTAGAAGATTAGATCATAGGATACAGTTCAATTGGTTAAATTCAGGGTAGAAGATAATAAATAGACCCAACTAAGGAGTGACTCACAGATTTTAGAGACTCCAAAATTTTTGTTTTTCACATTTAATGTGAGTTAGTTGCCAAGAGATTCAACTGTTTTCCTTTTCCTACTATGCTGTATCTGTCTGAGATCTGTATTTGAAATTATATTTGTAGTAAATCAGTTTGAAGTCGTAAATCCCAGTTGTTTTAAATGTACAATTCAAGTGCTAAACTTGAAACCTTGGCTCCCACAACCATTTTCTTACTTTCTAGAAGCCCCTTTCAGTCAACACAAAAGAATTTTTTGTGTTCTTGTCATGTTCCCCTTCTCTCTCCTTCTCACAAATTCATTTGTGAATGTCTCATTCTCTGTTTTGCCATATTGTTGCCTAACATGTGTTTGCTTCTCTCTTGCTCCTATGGCAAGAATTCATTTCAAGAAATGGTTTGTAAATGAATAGCTTTCATTCATTTAATTTAAGATATGTGAGTGGGAGTGTTCTCTAATAGCTCAACCATCTAGGTTAAAAAATGACTCATTAGACTAAATGACAATTTTTGGCACAGTGTTTCAACTGATAAATAACATGATCAGAACTTATAGTCTGGGCCTAGAAAACACCTCTTAGCAAACAAAACCTACAGCACTAAGAACCATTCCTACCACAACTATGCTCTCGTGGTCACATTGGTTACATTCTACTGACCTCACAAAGCGGATATTCAAGCTGTGTGGGAACTGAATAGCAGATACAAAGAACAATTACCTTAGAGGGGAAGAAAGGGTATTTCTAAGCACTAGTGTCCAGTCAGCATTGTGATTTAGTTTGCTAAGGTTTAAGTTATATGGGAGAAATTTTATAACTTTACAGCACTTAACCCATTGCCATGTTGGTGGAATAAATCCTTGTCTCAGTGTGCCTCCTTATTTAAAAATATAAAAAGAAATGTAGTAGTTGTAATTCCATCATTCATCTTTGAAAAAGAGAAATCACCGCTACCCCATCTCCCATAAACAGTAAAATACTGTGTTTTGTTTTTTGTTTTGCTACAAAGGTAATGGAACTTGAATCTGATGTGTGGAATAGCTTCAAAACCATTTTGCTTGATACCCTTACCTACCAGTACCTCATCCCGATGTGATGATAGTTCTGGCGGAATGAGAATCATTCTCAATACCATGTTGTTGTTGTTTAGTCTCTAAGTGGTGGTGACTCTTTTGCAACGCCAGGGAACTCTAGCCTGCCAGGCTCCTCTGTCCATGGGATTTCCCTGGCAAGAATACCATTTTCTTGGGTTGTTATTTCCCTCTCCAGGGGATCGTCCCAGCCCAAGGATCAAACATGCATCTCCTACAATGGCAGGTGGATTCTTTAACACTGAGCCACTTGGGAAGGCCCTCTCAATACTATACTTTCCAAAATACACAGCTATTCATTAGAGAAGATTAATTTAGAAGGAGAATATATGAGATAAAGTAGATAATAGGCTTCCCACATAGATGATATTGAGCTAAAGTAGGCAATGAAAAGAAACACCATCAAAGCCATCCTGACATGCAGTTAGATGTAACAAAAGTTTGTCTTGATCAAAAACTGCCCCAAAAGATTTTCTAGTTACCAAATTATGGGGAGAAATTAATCAGGATGACTTCATTCTCAGGAATAATCCTATGTACTTCACTTCATTTTATGGTATCTGTCATATAATTCTACTAAATGACCTCAGTTCAACTCAGTGTCTCATCTTCTTTTTACTTCAAGAGTAAAAAGAGAGAAAGTGGGGAATGGGATGAGAAACAATTCTCTTAGAATTTGGAACGTAAATTTTGTCTACCCATGAGTTATAAAACTCTTTGCAATCTTCACTAAGCTCAAAGGGTATGTAGTAAACAATCAATTAATTAAAAATCAATCGTGTTGTGCCCAACTTCCCTTGGATCCTGCTCCTTTCACTGCTAGCTCCTCGGGGTGAGAGTAGACCTCCACAAAGCATGCCTTTTCCTTCCAAACACTCACTGTGGAGTTTTAAGGAAGATTACTGTCAGGCAAGGAATCTCCCCCATTCTGCTGTATTGTAATGGACCAAAAATCTATTTCATGCCAACCATCTAAAAATTGACTTTCTCAGAGTTCAATTCATGATTCCTGGGAGAACTGTGGAAAAAAGAGAACCTAGATCAAGCCCTGTGCCTTTGAAGTGGGAGCGCTGACTCCAAGACCCTAGACTACCAGAAAACTGACCCTAGTGGGTATCAAATAGTGAGAATTTACACAAAGGAATCCACTGGAATACAAGACCTGGCATCACCCAACCACCAATAGCACCCTGTGCAGGACACCTCATCTAAACAACAAACAAAACAAAAATACAAACCCAATCATCAGCAGACAGGATTACCACCTCACTCAGTCTTGCCCATCAGAGGAAAAACAAACAAACAAACAAACAAAAGCTCAGCACAAATCTCACCCTATAAGAAGCTTACACAAACCACTGGATCAATCTTACACAAACCACTGGATCAATCTTAGAGGGCAGAAACCAAAATGAAGAAAGAATTCAACCTTGAAGCCTGGGAAAAGGAGACCTCTAACACAATAAGTTAAAAATGAAATAATGAAGGGGCAAAGAAATACCATACAAATGAAGGAACAAACTAGAAACACAGAAGTCCAAATAGATGAAGAAGAAATAGGCAAACTACCTGAAAAAAAAAATCAGAATAATGATAGTAAAGATGATTAAAAACCTTAAAAGCAAAATGGAGAAAATGCAAGAATCAATTAGCAAAGACCTAGAAGAATGAAAGAATAAACATGCTGAGACAAACACAATTACTGAAATTAAAAATATTCTAGAAGGAATCAATAGCAGAATGTCTGAAGCAGAAGAATGAATCAGTGAGCTGGAAGATAAAATGGTGAAAATAACTCCTGAAGAGAAAAATAAAGTAAAAAGGATGAAAAGAACAGGATAGTCTCAGAGACCTCTGGGACAATATCAAACACACCACCATTAGAATAATAGGGGTCCCAGAAGAAGAAGAGAAAAAGAAAGGGTATGAGAAAATTTTTGAAGAGATTATAGTTGAAAATAATTTCCCCAACATGGAAAAGGAAACAGTCAATCAAGTCCAAAAGGCACAAAAAGACCCATATAGGATAAACCCAAGGAGAAACATGCCAGGACACATACTAATCAAACTAACAAAGACTAAACACAAAGAATATTAAAAACAGCAAGGGAGAAGCAAAAAGTAATATGTGAGGTAAACCCCATACGCTTAACACCTGATCTTTCAACAGAAACTCTGCAGGCCAGAAGGGAATGGCAGGATATATTTAAAGTACTGAAAGGGAAAAATGTACAACCAAGATTACTGTACCCAGCAAGGATCTCATTCAAAATTAGTGGAGAAATCAAAAGCTTTTCAGACAAGCAAAAGTTAAGAGAATTCAGTACCACCAAACCAGCTTTATAAAGTTTGTTAAGCGATTCTTAATGCGACTTTCTGGTGTGTCTTTGGCCTAATGAGAAGGGGGATGGTTGTTTTTTAAATGTAAGGTGAGGGGTTGAGGTAAACGTTGAAGTTTGGCTGAATAATGCCTTCTGGATGTGTGGTTACAAAGAATAAAACTTAATTATGAACGTAAACCTTTTACCTGGGTTGCTGGCGTGGATTCATCATTGCTTGAAATCCTCTTAAAACTGAGGCCTCTGGGAAGGAAGCTCCTCAGAAGGTGCTAATGTTCATCTATTAAAAAAAAAAAAAAAAAAAAAAAAAAACAACAAATGTTAAATGAACTTATATAGTCAAGAAATACAAGAGAAGAAAAAAGATTTACAAAATCACCCCCAAACAATTAAGAAAATGGCAATAGGAACATATATATCAATAATTACTTTAAATGTAAATGGATTAAATGCTCCAACCAAAAGACACAGAGTGGCTGAATGGATACAAAAACAGGACCCATATATATGCTGTCTGCAAGAAACCCACTTTAGACCTCAAGACATGTATAGACTGAAAGTGAGAGGATGGAAAAATATATTCCATGCAAAGTGAAGCTGCTCAGTCATGTCCAACTCCTTGCAACCCCATGGACTGTAGTCTGTTGGGCTCCTCTGTCCATGGGGTTCTCCAGGCAAGAATACTGGAGTGGGTTGCCATTTTCTTCTCCAGGGGATCTTCCTGACCCAGGGATTGAACCCTGATCTCCTGCACTGCAGGCAGACGCTTTACCCTCTGAGCCACCAGGGAAGACTTATATTCCATGCAAATGGGAAGCAAAAGAAAGCTGGAGTAACAATCCTCATATCAGACAAAATAGACCTTAAAATAAAGAAGATTACAAGAGATAAGGAGGGCACTAGATAATGATCAAGGGATCAGTCCAAGAGGAAGATGTAACAATTATAAATATCTATGCATCCAACATAGGAACACCTCAATACATAAGACAAACACTAACAAACATAAAAGGAGAAATTGACACTAACACAATAATAGTAGGAGGCTTTAACACCCCACTCACACCAATGGACAGATCATCAAAACAGAAAATTAATAAGGAAACAAACGTCTTAAATGATACATTAGATGAGATGAATCTCATCGATATCTTCAGGACATTCCATCCAAATGCAGAAGAAGACACCTTCTTCTCAAGTGCATGTGAAACATTTTCCAGGATAGATTGCATCTTGGGTCACAAATCAAACCTCAGTAAATTGTAGAAAATTGAAATCAGGGGTCTAGGTCCGGGCAGCCGAAGAGTGTGGTAGGTAACGGTCGTCAGCGCAAGGGTCATTTCGTCGCTGGGAAGGGACGGCCCTCGCCCGCGGTGATGGTGGTTAGCAAGATGACCAAAGATGCGCAGATGAGAGCAGCGATTAACCAAAAGTTGATAGAAACTGGAGAAAGAGAACGCCTCAAAGAGTTGCTGAGAGCTAAATTAATTGAATGTGGCTGGAAGGATCAGTTGAAGGCACACTGTAAAGAGGTAATTAAAGAAAAGGGACTAGAACACGTTACTGTTGATGACTTGGTGGCTGAAATCACACCAAAAGGCAGAGCCCTGGTACCTGACAGTGTAAAGAAGGAACTCCTACAAAGAATAAGAACATTCCTTGCTCAGCATGCCAGCCTTTAAGATTGAATTAGATTGTGTTGTTTTGTGGTTTTATTTCTAAAGTAAAACTTGCCACAAATTAGGAATCGACTTCCCAAAATAAAATCCTTTTTTGTATGATGGTATACAGTTTTCAGTAATGATGTATACGTTGTATTGATTTTTTTCCCTAAATGTGTTATTTTAATAAATATCTCATGAATGAGTAAAAAAAAAAAAAAGAAAATTGAAATCATATCAAGCATCTTCTCTGACTACAATGCTATGAGACTAGATATCAATTACAAGGAAAAAACTAAGAAACACAAACACATGGAGATTAAACAACATGCTACTAAATAACCAACAGGTTACTGAAGAAATCAAAAATTTCTAGAAAGAAATGACAATGAAAACACAACAACTCAAAACCTATGGGATGCAGCAAAAACAGTCCTAAGAGGGAAGTTTATAGCAATACAATCCTACCTCGAGAAACAGGAAAAATATCAAATAGACAGTCTAACTTTACACCTGAAACAACTGGAAAAAGAAGAACAAAAAAACCCCCAAAATTAGTACAAGGAAAGAAATCATAAAGATCTGAGCAGAAATAAATGAAAAAGAAATGAAAGAAACAATAGTAAAGATTAATAAAACTAAAAGCTGGTTCTTTGAGAAGACAAAAAATTGACAAACTTTTAGCCAGAATCATCAAGAAAAAGAGAGAAGAATCAAATCAACAAAATCAGAAATGAAAAAGGAGAGGTTACAACAGACAATGCAGAAATACAAAGGATTATAAGAGACTATTATGAACAACTCTATGGCGATAAAATGGATAACCTGGAAGAAATGGACAGATTCTTAGAAAAGTTCAATCTTTCAAGACTGAACCAGGAAGAAATAGAAATTGTGAACAACCCAATTACAAGCACTGAAATTGAAGCTGTGATAAAAAATCTCCCTAAAAACAAAAGCCCAGGAACAGATGGCTTCACAGGAGAATTCTATCAATCATTTAGAGAAGATCTAATGCCTATGCTTCTATAACTTTTTCAAAAAAATTGCAGAGGAAGGAAGACTTCCAAACTCATTCCATGAGGCCACCATCACCCTGATACCAAAACCAGACAAAGACAGCACAATAAAAGAAAACTACAGGCCAATATCACTGATGACCATAGATGGAAAAATCCTTAACAAAATTTTAGCAGACAGAATTCAGCAACACATCAAAGAGCTCATACACCATAAGCAAGTTGGTCATGGTCATTTATTCCAGGTATGCAAGGATTCTTCAATATGTGCAAATCAATCAATGTGATATACCATGTTAATAAACTGAAAGATTAAAAACCACATGATAATCTCAATAGATGCAGAAAAAGTATTTGACAAAACTCAGCACCCACTTATGATGAAAACTCTTTAAAAAATGAGCATAGAAGGAACCTATCTCAACATAATAAAGGCCATATATGATAAACCTATAGCAAACATTATTCTCAATGGTGAAAAACTGAAAACATTCCCCCTAAGATCAGGAATGAGGCAAGGGTATCCACTTTCACCACTATTACTCAAGTAGTTCTGACATTCCTAGCTATAGCAATCAGAGAATAAAAAGAAATAGAAGGAATCCAGATGGGAGAAGAAGTAAAGTGCTCACTGTTTGCAGATGACATGTTAGTGTACATAGAAAATCATAAAGATAGTATCAGAAAATTACTAGAGCTAATCAGTGAATTTAGCAAAGTTGCAGGATACAAAATCAATACACAGAAATCACTTGCATTTCTATATACTAACAATGAAAAATCAGGAAGAGAAATTAAGGGATCAATCCCATTCACCATTGTGACAAAAAGAATCAAATATCTGGGAACAAACTTACCTAAGGAGACAAAGGAACTGTACACAGAAAAGTATAAGACACTGATGAAAGAAATCAAAGATGACATAAACAGATGGAGAGATAATCCATGTTCCTGGGTAGGAAGAATCAATATTGTGAAAATGACTATACTACCAAATGCAATCTACAGATTCAGTGTGATCCCTATCAAATTACCAATGGCATTTTCCACAGAACTAGAACAAGAAATTTCACAATTCATATGGAAACACAAAAGACCCCAAATTAGCCAAAGCAGTCTTGAGAAAGAAGAACGGAGCTGGAGGAATCAACCTTCCCAACTTCAGATTATACTACAAAGCTACCGTCATCAAGACAGTTTGGTACTGGCACAAAAACAGAAATATAGAACAAGATAGAAAACCCAGAAATAAACCCATGCACTTATGGGTACCTTATTTTTGATAAAGGAGGGGAGAATATTCAATGGGGAAAAGAAAGCCTCTTCAATAAATGGTGCTGGGAAAACTGGACAGCTGCATGGAAAAGAATGAAATTAGAACACTTTCTAACACCATACACAAAGATAAACTCAAAATGGATTAAAGACCTAAATGTAAGATCAGAAACTATAAAACTCTTAGAGGAAAACATAGGCAGAACACTCGATGACATAAATCAAAGCAAGATCCTCTATGACCCACCTCCTAGAGTAATGGATATAAAAACAAAAGTGAACATGTGGGACCTGATTAAACTTAAAAGCTTTTGCACAGCAAAGGAAACTATAAGCAAGGTAAAAAGACAGCCCTTGGAATGGAAGAAAATAATAACAAATGAAACCTGACAAAGGACTAATTTCCAAAATATACAAGTAGCTCATACAACTCAATGCCAGAAAAACAAACAACCCAATCAAAAAGTGGGAAAAAGACCTAAACAGACATTTCTCTAAAGAAGACATACAGATGGCTAACAAGCACATGAAAAGATGCTCAATGTCACTCATTATTAGAGAAATGCAAATCACCTCATGCCGGTCAGAATGACCATCATCAAAAAGTCTGCGAACAGTAAATGCTGGAAAGGGTGTGGAGAAAAGGGAACACTCTTGCACTGTTGGTGGGAATGTAAATTGATATAGTCACTATGGAAGACGGTATGGAGATTCCTTAAAAAACTAGGAATAAAACCACCATATGACCCAGCAATCCCACTCTCAGGCATATACCCTGAGGAAGCCAGGGTTGAAAAAGACACATGTATCCCATTGTTCACTGCAGGCCTATTTATAATAGCTGGAACATGGAAGCAACCTAGATGCCCATTGACAGATGCATGGATGCTGTGGTACATAAACACAGTGGAACATTACTCAGCCGTGAAAAGAAACATGTTTGAGTCAGTTCTGATGAGGTGGATGAACCTAGAACCTATTATACAGAGTGAAGTGAGTCAGAAAGAGAAAGATAAATATCATATTCTAAATCACATATATGGAATCTAGAAAAACGGTTCTGAAGAATCATTTACAGGGCAGCAATGGAGAAACAGACATAGAGAATAGACATGAGGAGAAGGGAGGAGAGGGTGAGATGTATGGAAAGTGTAACAAGGAAACTTACATCACCATATGTAAAATAGATAGCCAATGGGAATTTGCTGTATGGCTCAGAAAACTCAAACAGGGGCTCTGTATCAACCTAGAGGGGTGGGATGGGAGGGAAATGGGAGGGAGATTCAAAAGGGAGAGATATATGTATACCTATGGTTGATTCACGTTGAGGTTTGACAGAAAACAACAAAATTCTGTAAAGCAATTATCCTTCTATAAAAAAATAAGTGAAAGAACGTTAGTAGCGTCAAGAAGCTTCATGGTTCTGTCAATAGTGAATTGAGTGTGAATTTAATCTCTTTATCAAAATATCTTGACCCATTGGCCTGATTTATTTTCTTTTTAGTCATTCCACATACATGGAAGGTGACAGTGATGTACGAAGAAGACCAAATTGTTATTATTGTTTTGAGGGGAAATTGTAAGATGTATGCTTTTAGGTAGGCAATTTGTAAATTCTTTGGTAAAGCTGGTAAACCATTTAGAAGCTGTCATAGGTGAAGCATATTATGAAAAATGTTAATTTGAGCATTTGGCAATCAGTGCTGTGTCTCTTTTGAGCCCAGAGGAACATAAACCTCAATCAATGCCTCTGTAAGAAATAATGGATCACGGTAGTATAATTATTATAGTATAATGTTCATTATACTTTTTTTCTTTTGGAAGATTATTATAAATGAAAGTAAGCATTTGCTAATACTCTTCCCAACCATTAAAAAATCCGCACAACAGGACGTCTCCTGCTTCCTATTTTTGACACCGACTTGTACAACACCTTTGACTTATATATTAAGAGAAAATGGAAAATTAAAAGTATCCAAGTGAGGTGAAAATGAGTTCAGGAAATGAATATTACATAGCAAGCACCCTATTGTTATTAGGTTAAGAAGTTTCCAAACTCCAACCAAAATATCATAGCACTCAAAATTAGATTTTGCTTATACAAGGTTAAGTGAATATAAAAATTGTGAGGTAAGGAATCTATCAAAAGAAAGAACAAAGTTTCAAATGGTCACCAGAGGGCATAAAGCACTTTGGAATGACTGTTACAGAACACTTCAAATTTGCAATGACCAGATAGCAAGACCTACAAATGCCATAGTGTGGGCAGGAGGCTTCAAGCTAAAGATATTAATAGCCTCCTCTGTTACCGCAAAATATTTGTAGTTTGAAGCAGAACTTAGAAGACAATTACCTGCTTTACCCATAGTCATCTTTCCCTAAAGGGAAATTTCATTCTTAAAGGGGCAAAGTAGGACTTCCCTGGTCATCGAGTGGTTAAGAATCAGTCTTGCAATGCCAGGGACATGAGTTCGATCCCTGATTCAGAAAGATGCCACATGCCTTGGGTCAACTAAGCCTGTGAGCCACAACTAATGAAGCCCATATACTCGAGAGCCTGAAAGCTGCGGCTACTGAGCTCGTGCTCTGTAACAAGAGAAGCCACTGCTGGCACACCACAACTAGAGTGTAACCCCTGCTCACTGCAACCAGAGAAAGCCTGTATACAGCAACAAAGACCCAGTGCAGCGAAGTAAATAAACAAAACAAAAACTTTCATTAAGAAAGGGCAGAGTAGACTAAACTTAATCAGTAGATAATGGCCAAACATTTACTTGACTTGAGTTTTTGGTCAAGATATTTCCAAGCTGTACCTAAGATAGAATTCTCATTAAAAACAATTAAAATGTAACTGCATCATTGATACATAAGAATAAATAGAGAATGGATTTTTAGACCAATCAAAATTAGT